CGAAGGATTAGGTCCAGCCTTTTGGCCGCCGAGTCAATAGCCTTACCCCTTTAATGGATCAAACCCTGTTTAGCCTAGGTGTCCCGCCGTGGGCAAAATTGCTTTTATCCTAGTGTTAGGCCAAAAGAGTCGCCGTACTCTGTTTTAAGGTTTTCCGCCGTGGAATCCCTAACCTAACCCTAATTCACTTAACAATTTACAAACGTAGATATTGGAGTACACTCCGCGTAAGCGTGTCCCTAAGATACGTTTATTCCCCATTGGAACCTTGGCCACAGTCAAGACGTTTCTAACCTCCTTTTGAGGAGAACTACAGTTACTCTGATTCCATTCCCGTAAGGATATGTAGGCACAAGATGCGATGTCTTGCCGAGTAAACTTAGAATTAACCCCTTAGGTCTTTTAAACCCTTAATCCTTTGTATATACCCTAAAGCAAAATAATTAATGAAATAAATAAAAAAAATAAACAAAAGGTTCCCGTAGAGTACTACGGAAGTTTAGGGTGCTAATACCTTCCCTAAATTTAACCAACCCCCGAACCTTAGATCTCTCCCTTTTAGGTTTTCCTTTCTTTAACCTTTCCTTCGGATAAATCAAAGACCGGTTGTAAATGAATTAAGATTCAAGTTAATCAATAGCTTGACATCCAAATTTCACCGCAACAAGCTGCATCAAAGAAACAGGTACTACTACAGTTACATGATTATCTTGTTATACATTAATTACTGAACTTATATATGACTTTTAGGTTCATGATCAGCAGTCGCAACAAGTCAGCAAGGGTAAGATGCCTGAAACTTCCAAGGTGCCTAGAAAAGCATTTGTTCCTCGATTTAGGATGTGCCTTGAAACATATGTGGGAACATCAGATGTGCCTGAGGGTGGCATCCGTCAAATACATATGGACGAAGGTATTTTAGGTTTTGAATATCCCGAAACAATTGCTAAGGAGGATTTTGATCAGGTTTTCAACCATTCTGAATTGGGCGTCGGTGTTATGCATTCATAGATCAGGTACTTCGATCCATTTTAATTAAATAATTGAACCTTTTAAAATTTGCTCGTTTAACTGAATATTCTAATGTTGATTATGTTTTTTTAGGTTCTTGTATGACAAGTTGTTGGCCCCGAATGAATTGACTTCAGTATTCGCATTCTTATCTGCTAGCTGTGTCAACTCACGGATAATAGACCAGACACCAGATACAGTCAAAGAGTACACAGTGAAGAGATTTATGCGCGCGACTACGGAGAAGTTGTTCTTGTTGCCATATAACACTGGCCATGGGTTAGATTTTATTCTAAATTCATTTATTATAATTGTTTGATTTTTCCCTTTCTATATAACATTTCCATCTAAACTGTTGTCTTATTTTATAGTGGACATTGGTTGTTGGTCGCGATTAATCCGAGGAAAGAAATAGTATATTATATAGATTCATTGGATGGCGATACAACAAAATATGAAAATCTGAGGAACATGGTTGATACGTAAGTGATGAGATATATTGTTGCCTTTAATTATATATCTTTATTTATTGTGTGACATTGTTCTAAATATGCGTTTATATTATGTTAGAGTTATACAAATATTCAGAGCACAAAGAGATGCAACGGTGCCAAAAAGCAAGGCTAACAACATCAACTAGATCAGAGTGGAGGTATATTTTCCCATGTTTGACTGTTATAGTGGTTCTACTTGATAAAACTATTTAAACTATATATCCTGATAAATGTTCGTTTGTTTTTTCCATTTACAGTGTCCTCGGCAGCGCAATGGTATTGACTGTGGATATTTTGTATTGCGCTTTATGAGGGAAATTATTCTTTCTGGTCAACTTGAGATTCCAGTCATGGTATGGATCAATTCATTATATAAGTTATATGATTCATTTTGATAATTATCTGATACTTCATCTGAGTAATTAGTTTTAAAATTAAATCTTGCATGTTCTGTTATATTATGTAGTATTTTGATGAATTCAAGTGTGCTACTTACACGAAAGCAAAATTGGAAGAAATTAAAGAGGAATGGTGTCAATTTATTCTTGGGTTGAGAATTGTATAGAGTTATCAGATTGGAAGAATTGTAATTATATGTAAATTGATTGTATTTGTGATGTTGTAATTCTGAGGATCGAATTTTGTTGTAACATATTTAAACAAGTTTATGTGTATTAAAATGTTTATGAACAAAGTGATGAGTTACAATGTATCCAAAGTTTTGAATTGTATATATAAGGCCAAAGTTTTGAATTGTATATTTAAGGCCAAAGTTTTGAATTGTATATATAAGGCCAAAGTGTTGAAATAAAGACCTGAATTATAAGCAGGTTTGTGTAATATAAGCAGGTTGTTGGTAAATATACAAAACAGGGTGAATATTTTTTAAAAAAAAATTTAAAATCTGGGATATTAGACAGCGCTTTTACAAAAAAACGCTGCTAAAGGTCACAAACATTGCGCTACAAAAGCGCTGCTATAGGTTTGGAAGGGGGGGGGTCTAAGACAGCGCTTCTAAAAAGCGCTGCTAAAGGGGGGCTATGGCAGCGCTTTGTAAAAGCGCTGCTAAAGGTGGGCTCTAAGACAGTGCTTTGTGAAAGCGCTACTAAAGGGGGGGATGGTTGAGGGGAATATGCAGCGCTTATGAAAGCGCTGCTAAAGGGCTATAAAAGCGCTGCTAAAAGTGCGGCTGAAGGGAGCCTTTAGCAGCGCTTTTTCCATAAAAAAAAAGCGCTGCCTTTACCTTTAGCAGCGCCACTTTTGGCAGCGCTTTAAAGCGCTGCTAAAGGTCTTTTTTGGCATAGTGTAGCATTCCTTGAATCTTCGAATGAATAGCTCTCGGGGCACGCCCCTTGAGTTGTTACTCATTCAATCTTTCGGATTCGAAACGTCCAAACCCTTTCCTCAAACCTTTTCAATCAACTCTCGAAAGAACTGAGTTTTTGGATCTCGCATTCCTTGGACTCTTGAGTGACATCTCTCGAGGCAGGCCCATTGGGTTGTTTGTCATTCAATCTTTCGTTTCCAAACCAAACTTCAACTCAATGCAACCCTTTCTCTTTTCGTGGTCGTCGCCACGAACTACAGACGCTCTGATTCTTTATTCTCGTCTGAATGTAAGATACGTAGGCACAAGATTGCGATGATCTTGGCGAACACAATTCCCTCCATCTTTCGTTTTCCCTTAACCTTTCCTGTAGTCGAACTACGAGAGCTCTGATTTCTCATTTTCGTCTGAATGAGCATACGTAGGCACAAGGGCTCCAATCCTTGTCGAGCACCTTATCCTCTAGCCATCCATTTTCCCCTAGCATAGTTATCATTTTATCCTACCAATTCGTATTTATCATTGAGAAGAAAGCAAGCTTAGATGGCGCCCATCGCAAATCGTACTAAGAGGTTCCTGTTGAGTACAACGAACGTGTGGGGTGCTAATACCTTTCCCTTGCGTAACCGACTCCCGAACTTGGAACATCGGTTGCGACGACCGTGCTTCTGTCCTTTCGTTTTAAAATGTTTTCTCAATATTTTCCTTTCCCGTCTCCTCGGGATAAATAAAGTTCGGTGACGACTCTGTCGAACCGCATTCCGCACCTTTAGCACGAGGGTCGTGCGTTCAAATGAACTTTTGAGGTGCGACAAGGGGGACACAAGTTTATTTAGAAGAATTGTAGATGAAGAAGGACTCTCACGTCTACCAGTATTAATGAATGGAATGGTTGGGATTGTGGAAACAGTGAGACAATTAGCTATAAATGAGGCGTCATGTGAAACAACACAAAAGGTTGAAATGAAAAAAATTAGGAATAGTCAAATTAAGTTGGAGGAAGTCTCAAGAGTTTCACAGGAGCGTGTGCAAGAATATATGTTTTCACAAAGGAACCAAACCCATAGTTCAATAGATGAAAATTAAGGTTTTGGTGGATATAACGGAATTGGCGGATTTGGAGCAATTAGTGGGTAGAGAGGTATAAGCGAGGATGAAGAAGATGAGAGCTACAAAGATAATAAGGATGATTTATATCTCATAATTGTTGAATATTTTTATTGTTATTTTAATTTTTAATTTTTAAATATTAAAATTTGAAATTTGTTAATTACTTTTTAACTTAATTTTTACAACACTTTAATATTTATAATTATTTTTTAATTTAATTTTTACAAAATTTTAGTATATGCCTATAATATATAATTATTAAAAAGTGTGAGATGTAAAATCCCCTACAATATATAATACATAGCTGACACGCAAGTGTTAAGAGATGTTTTTTATCTGGAAAAATTATGTGCTGCGTGGAGTTTTTCTCCTGATAAAATATATCAAATCTCTGCACCCTATCTGACCCAATTGATGCGTTCTCTACATCCTATAAAATGTTACGAGGAATTTATCATCGAACAATATTGCGAGGAGTTTTTTACTTGACAAAAAGTTGCAACAATAATTTTTGTGATGTGTTTATATTCCTTGTAAAATTAGGTGTTGCGAAGAGATTTCTTAGTTTGTGAAGAGTATTTCTTCTGACAAAGCTGAATTGATTTTAGTGAAATTAAAACCAAAACAGGTCGCTGAAGCGCTTCATGTCCTACACAGAGAGCGCATGCAATATATCTTACAACAAATTAAAATATTTGGGTTAACATCTTGTCTATAAAAATTATCTCATCATCTTGCAGTAACAAAACTGATGCATTATCATTCATTCTAATTAACTTAAAAGAACAAATTACCATAACAAGTAAATAAAAGACTATCATGTTGGTATTTACGATTAACAAGAAACTTTCCAACTAATCTTGTAAAGTTTTCATCCAAATAGGCCCATTTAGAAAAAGAAAAACATAAACGTACACGAAACACCTTAGCCTATAAATTAGTTTCCCCACTTTTAATTATGAGTGTCCTAGAGCCAACATAAAATTAAACTAACTGAGATTCATACATATAAATTGCTACTAGTAGATAAATCCATTGACAAAAACAGGGTTTCAAAAATGGCTGGTGGAGCATTCTCTGTGGATAGTAAACCAGTTACTGCCATCAACATTGGTGGCAAGTTAACACTCACAATCATCATTTCATGCATAGTTGCTGCATCTTGTGGCCTTCTTTTTGGATATGACATCGGAATTACAGGTTTGTTTATTTTTAATTCTCTTAACTAGTTCTGTAAATGACTAACGAGTTGCGTTAACCATCAAAATTGTTGTCGAAATTTAATTAGGAGGCGTGACGACGATGGTGCCATTTCTTCAAAAATTCTTTCCTGAAATTCTAAGAAAGGCAGCTGAAACCGAAGTGAACCTGTATTGTGTGTATGACAGTCAAGTGTTGACACTATTTACATCTTCTCTGTATCTAGCTGGATTAGTTTCGTCCCTCGCTGCTAGCAAGATCACCGCAGAGTATGGTCGGAAAAACACCATCTTGTTTGGTGGTATTCTCTTCCTTGCAGGTGGTGCCATTAATGGTGGTGCTGAAAATATTTCCATGCTCATTTTGGGTCGAGTTCTTCTCGGCTTGGGAGTTGGTTTCACTAATCAAGTAAGTCGGTAGATGTAAAACAGTTATAAGGAAAATGAATGTCAACATGCTCCGTCGTTTTGGAAATTTTGAGACATATCGTAGCAATTTTTTTTGTTGGTATTTATGACATTTTTTTATTAATCAATTAAAATATGAAATGTTATATTTTACAATTTGAAAAGGCTGCACCGTTGTACCTGTCTGAAATTGCTCCCCCGAAATGGGGAGGCGCTATCGGCACAAGCTTTCAATTCTTCTTTGGAATTGGCGTAGTAGCTGCCAACTGCATAAACTATGGCACCGCCAAGCGTGCATGGGGATGGAGACTTTCTCTTGGACTTGCAGTCGTGCCTGCAGCAATCATGACAATCGGTTCCTTCCTCATTACCGACACACCCAACAGCTTGGTGGAACGTGGCAAGATAGACCAAGCCAGAAAAGCCTTACAGAAAATCAGAGGGTCCTCCGACTCCATCGATATTGAACCTGAGTTAGACGAACTTATTAAGTGGACAACAATTGCAAAATCAGTAAAGCAAGAACCCTTTAAGATCATATTCAAAAGGGAGTATCGACCTCATTTGGTCATGGCGTTTGCAATCCCATTTTTCAACCAGCTTACAGGGATCAACATTGTTGCTTTTTATTCACCTAACCTCTTTCAATCTGTCGGTTTGGGACACGATGGTGCTTTGCTTTCTTCCATTATACTTGGTGTCGCTAACTTTGCTTCTAACCTTGTCTCCGCCGGTATTGTTGATCGATTTGGTCGAAGATTATTGTTCATAACTGGAGGTACTGTGATGTTTGTGTGCTTGGTAAGTGAATTAGTAGAACCTATCGTTCTTTGAATTCATATTTTTAATTTTTAGCAACTAATTATTACATAATTTAAGTGAAGATTGCGGTGTCCATTTTGCTGGCTGTGATGACTGGTGTTGATGGTACAAACGATGTATCCAAAGGCAATGCAATACCGGTTCTAGTGATATTATGTCTCTATACTGCAGGTTTTGGTTTATCGTGGGGCCCTCTGTCGGGGCTAATTCCAAGTGAGATTTTTCCAATAAATATAAGAACCACCGGACAAAGCATAGCTGCTGGATTGAATTTCATAATAGTATGAAAAATGCTATTTTGACACCATTTCTTACACCCCATACATACACCGTATGCACTGTTCACCGTATTTATACGGTGAACAGTGTTTTTTTTATTAAAATAATATATTTTTTTAAAATATTAATTTTTTTTTAAAAAAAATATTTATTTTTAAAATTTATTTTATAACACAAATATAAGATTACGCATTAACCAACTTCACAGTTGCATTAACCACAAAAATCTACATCATTAACCAATTATTTCACCTATAATTTATTAACCACTTTCACTACTTCATTAACCAATAAAATACATACCATTAACCATGTTCTGAGCATTTTTTTCATATATTTATGAACAGTAAATTGGGTGTAAGGTGTAAGAAAGGGTGTAGGAATAGCAAACCTGTAATAGTATTTCTGTTGTCTCAAACATTTTTGACGATGTTATGCCACTTTAAATTTGGGGTCTTCTTGTTTTATGCTTTCTGGGTTGCGGTGATGACTTTATTTATTATCTTCTTCTTGCCTGAGACTAAAGGAATTTCTTTGGATTCAATGTATACTATATGGGGTAAACATTGGTTTTGGTATCGGTTTGTTGAAGGCGAAAATGGAGAAGAAAATCATCCATGAAGTTTGTATACACAAAATGAGGAGAAACATTGATGTTCAATTTGTGCACATGTGTAAAGAGGATTCGTTATGCAGAAGTTTGTATTTACCACTTGTTATTTGTGATATATTTTAAAAAGTCAATGCAGATGTAATACATAGGCTTTTGTGCATAACTATAACAAATCATCAATAGCAAACCGATGATATATTTACGAGTCCTCCTATGAAATAAAAGAGAATTTTTTAAGACAAGTCATGAGTTTTTTTTTCTACCGTGTGATTTTTTACAAATAATTTAAAATTTGAAAATATATCTTTGGACGTTTTTTATGGTTTAATAATATTTCGGAGATATATCTTCAGAACAATTTAAACTTTAAACGGTCTCAACATATCTCTCATAGTCCATTTCGATTTGAATTTGTCCGAAGATGCATTTACGGAAAATTTTCGAAAATACATCTTCGAATTATTTTAGAACAGGTTTTTATTTTAAAACACATTGTGTATTTGTTCGTGGATGAATTATAAAATAACAGACACACCAAAATAACATAACAATATAATAATATGATGTCGTACGTCGCGTAAATCCAAAATGTAGTAATAATGTCAGAAAAACGTACAAACTATAGTACTGAAACAAAATAAATACAGATAACTACTGGGTGTGCCTTACAACCTCTCATGTGCCTCATTTGCTTGGTCTGCCTCCTCGACCATCAACCCCTCTGTCCTCGCGCGATATCTGTGGTACAAAAGTGTCATTTGTGCCTCTGTAATAATGTCATCCAGTACTCGCCTGACAGCAGACCTCTCATGGCAGATATTGTCATACCCTAATTTTTATCCATAAGATTCCACCTCATTTTTGCATCATTTTCATCTTATTTAACATTACATGTGTGTGTGTGTGTGTGTGTGTGTGTGTGTGTGTGTGTGTGTGTGTGTGTGTGTGTGTGTGTGTGTGCGCGTGTGTGTGTGTGTTTATGCATCACTAAACAATTGAAAATACAAAAATATGTGATTGCTTGGATAAAGAGATATGAGGCCATGAAGTGGAGGGTTCACTATTTTTTGAACAAGAACACTTAAGAAAATTTTCAGCCATTTCTGCCTATGTCAAGTAGCTGACTTTATGGGCATTTTTCACCATGATCCTAATTGAATCAAGAAAAGTGGTTAACATGGAAGTTGCAGAGGATGTTTCAAGCTTTCCAAAGAGTCCAAGAACAAAGATGTATCTTACTTAAGCTTGAAGTTATGATTTTTGCAAGAGGCATTGATGAAGCTAAATTCAAAACAAATTCTTGTGGTACACAAGTTTAAGATCACTTTTGATCACTTTGCAAGCATTATCTCTGCACAAGATCAACACAAATCTTGTATTATCCCATGAGATCTTTAAGATAGTACCAAATTTGTCAAAGTTCTATCTTTTTGTATAGTGGAAAAACTCATCCCAAGGCATGAACTTAAGTTTTGTTTTGGTACATTAAGTGAAATGCCAATTAGTCAAGAAACCCCTCCAACAAGTCAAGACTTTGTTCTAAACACCAAGGGTTAAGTCAAAATCTGAATGATGATGGTTCAAATTTTCAAGATTTGATCATGCTTAAAAAGAAAGCTACTTGTACCTTAGCATTCAAGTTAATAAGAAACATGACATAAACCATTGGATAATATGATGCATCTCAATCCAAATTTTTTCCTCCAAAAAACTAACTTGTTTTTCTATAAATAGAGGTCATTTTTATCAATTTGGACACAAAACAATACACCAAAACATTTCCAAGAGCTCTCCATATTAAAATCACATATTCTTGCAAAATTTCAAGATCCATCAAAGTGAAAACTTGAATTTCACAAACAACTCACTAAACCTTTATTGTAACACTTCAAACACATCTCATACTACTTACCTAAGCTTCTGAAACACTCTAAACATCATCAAACCATCCATAACCAGAAGTTGCATTTTCATATCACCATTATTGCACAACTTGCAAGAACTTTTGAATTCTTCATTGCAATCACTTTCCACTCAATTTATCCATCCACACATACCACAAATCATCTACCAAAGCTGCTCAAACCCTTCATTTCATCAGAAAGCATCTAAATCAAAAAGTCAACCCTCAACACCTCATTTTGTTGACTTTCTTTCTAAAACTCCATAACACTTCATCCAAGCCTTTTCCAATCCATCTAACCCTTCAAACATCATCCATAAACATTGCATAAACTGTCTCAAGTGTTGTTTTGCAACTGTAACATCATTTACACCAAGATCAAATTCACATTTTTCATGTTTACAAGAAAAATTGTGTCAAAGGTTTAAGGTTGTTTCTACAAAAAGTAAGCATTCTAAAAGCACCTGAGGGGATCATAGAAGCCTTTTAAACCAACAACCACCTTCTAGAATAAATGAAAGAGGCATTGGACCTTGCTCCAATAGGTAAGCCTTAAAATTTCTGTAACTCTTTGATTCTTGCATTATCTTTATACATGTGAGTTATCAAGTTATTTGTCATGATGTAGACATCAAAAACCCTATGCTAATTGATCCTGATCATTGTTATACATGATTTCAATTTGAATTTTCATTCTAGGGTTCATTCTGGTTTCGTTCTAATTACTTGCGATATGTTGGGAATTAATGAAATTAAGTTATACCATTGTGTTTCTCATGAAATTTCAAACAACTTTCATTTTTATACCACATGATTTCATGGAGAATTGAGAGACTTAGCATTTTTAAAGATTTAAAAATGGTGGACAAGGAAGGAAGAAGATGATGCTTGTGATGACGCGTGTTTTCATATTTTCAAATTTGTTTTATTATTTATTTTCAATTTGTCATTCCATATCTTGAATAGGCATTGCGCCATAATGTTCATTGTGATGTGTTTTGAGTGTGTTATGCGTGTTTCAAGTCTGGGGTTCGAATCCCCCTTGCCCCAGACCTTTTGTATTTTATTTTTGCATATTTTTCATGTCATCTTAATATATATTGTCCTGCGCGTGTTATCATTCAAACCAAAACACATGGCATGGTGGTAGGATTTTTAAGTTATAGGCAAAAGGGTGTGAGTTCAAGTCCTAGTGGAAGCAAGACCTTTCTTTTTTATCACTTGTTCATTTCATGATTTATCCCATTTTCTTTTAACCATATCTCATGATCCTTTCATCCTTTTGAGCCAATTTTTTGCACACTTGCTATTTATCATATCTATTTTATGAATGCATGAAACAATGCCAAAAATATTATTTATTTTATCTATTTTATTAGGTTGAGACTTGTTCCTTTTATATGATTTTTAGGACTTTTTGATGATGTTCCTTGATTGTTTCCTTGACTTAATTGTCCATAAATGTTTATGTGATCATTCTTGGTGCCTTATTCCAAGAGAAGAGTTTGTTGTTAACTGTAACAACCCAATTTTCAATAATTAATTATTCATATTAATTAATTGATTTATTTGGATTATTTTAATTATTGGAATTATTGGATGATTAATTAAATGAATTGATAGATATTTTTGAGGGAAGAATTATGATGGAAAGAAAATAGAAGAGAAGGATATATAAGGGAAATTGAGGAGAAAAGAAAAGAGATAGAAACATAAGAGGAAGAATAGAGAAAGAAAGAGAAAGAGGAGAAAAGAGAAGGAGAAGAAGAAGAAGGAAAAACTTGGAAAAACTCAAGAACAACTTCTAGCTCCGATTTAATCAATGTAAGGGTGTGAAATGTTGTTATTCTATCAATGTTTATGATTATGTATGTGTTTGTTGGAGAGTTTCTACCATTTTCCATTTTAGGACAGAAAATGGTTTAATCGGTAGAATCGAGTTTTGAACGGTTAGAATCAAAAATAAATTTCATAGTTTAGTCGGGTAATGCTTAGCAATGATTATTGGACTTCGTTTGATCGAATCTGGTTGAGTTTGTGAGTTTGGACATTTTTGAATAATTGAGGTTTGAGATTTGAGTGGAAATCAGACGTCGTAGAAATCGTGTTTAATGGTTCTAATTCACTGCTATATGTTAGGTGAGTATGAGTATGTATTTGTTTCGAAGAAAAGAATTGAATCGGTCGGATTTTCGGGCAAAAATGCAAAATCTCGTAGCTGTTTTTAGGCAAAATTTTGGTTTTTCGGAAAACTTCGAAAATTCATATCTTTTGATCCGTAAGTCGGTTTTAGTCCCCGTTCAAAGCGTTGGAAAGCTAAAGAGATGTTATTTCTAGGAAAAATGGTTTTGATGTCAGTGTATGATCTAATTATAACAGAATATTCGAAACGTGTCATTTTGTCAACTTTTACCGTCGTGAACGGGTGCGTTTGATGTGTTATCATACTGTATGCTTTCGATATATAATGTGTAGCTTGTGTGCTGTTATATGTTATGTTGTGGGTAGCCATATGACATGAATCCTAGATTATGAATTGTGGTCTTTTGACAAATATAATGCATTGTTTAACTTGATTAAAAGTGCATGATGGTCGTGATTGTGTTAGTTGTCGTTGGCACGATGTTGTGTGCACATTGATTGTATCAAATGTTGTGAAGAATGCATGAGAACATATTGTGAATATGTGTCCATTGCTTGAAATATGGTGATGATATTGAATTATGAATGCATATTGTTTGTATGCGATGTTGTGAATAATGCATGAGAACATATCGTGAATATGTGTGCATTGCTTGATGAATATGATGTTATTGAATATGAATATGTTGTGTGTGCAATCATGTTATAATTCTTGAGTGATGAATTATTTGAATGCATGAGATTAAGATGCGAGAATGGTCTTAAGTGCATTTGGATGTTGATTGCATATGCATCATTTAGTCAAGATGCAATGCTTGCTAGTTTCGTGGAGACTAGTGACTTGTCCCAAGTCTAGAAGAGTGGGTTTGAAAGCTTAGAGGACGGACTTTTGTTGTTATCGGTCTAGAAGAGTGGACCCGATTTAAGTGTAAAAACCGAAAAATGATAACAAGTGTTGGTACT